CAGAAACATAACTTCTCTGGTAAACAGGCAAAAATCTATCTGCTTAGCTTTCTTGAGACTTGACTATCCTTTGGTGGGAAGAGCAGATTTCGCCCTGCTTTCATAATCTGTCCTCTTTCCAGTTTTCCAAGTCTTGAGAAAAGCCTGTGTTGCTTATGCTCACTCTAACACAAGAATATTTTTCAGTATTCTGCAGTGAAATTCAAGTTTCAGCCTCTGATCCATTTTCAGTAAAGAATTAAAATAGTGAAGATTAAAATTAAATATTATCATTGTAGACATAATTATTAATGAAGTTTTATCAAATGAACATCAAAAATTATAATGTAGGTACAGAATCTGGATTTTCTACAAAGACTTTACATACTTTTTAGCAGAACATCCTGAAATTTTACTTGAACATTTTGGTTAGGATGTGTATAGTCAGTGCTCACAATGCAAAAATGCCTCATGTTAGGTCATGAAAAATCCAAATCCCAAACAAGCTCATTAGTTTCTAATTTCTTTCCCCTTGCATGTTCAGTCCCAGTAAGGGTTTGGGGCTGCATATCTATTCCCAATTCTGCAAATATTCCCACACACACTTTGAACACTAAGAACCTCTTCCCTTCTGGCAACTCAGTAGGTTCATACTGTCACAGGACTACTTTTCATCCAGGACTAACAAATGAGACATTAAATAGGTCCTCCTAAAGTCTGTATTTCCTGAGTGCAGTAAAATCTTATGCCAAAGGCATTCTATTATACAACTGATGCTCGTAACAATCACGTCATTATTTTAAAACCTGTCTTGGCTTGACACAAGGCACATTTCTTGGACTTGATCAAAGCACAGTTATGCAATGCACATTTCCAGTGCTTTAGTAAGTTATACACAAGCAAAGTTTCAATAGTGATCAAAAGCTGCAAAAAGCCATAAAACATTAGTTGGGTTACTGGGATCAATACATCTCCTTATTACTGAACAAAACCAATGGCTTTTAAAAAGACAGTTTTTGTGACAAAGGGAATTATTTATAGCCCCATCTGGATAAATAAAGACAGCATTAGGATTTTCTGAATGTCTTCAGTTATTAGCTTAAGTTATTAACCACAAGTTAAATGATGCTGATTATAACTACAGACAGTCTTTGATAAAATAAAATCGAGACTAGCAGACTATATGGAAATTAGTATAATAAAAATCTCTACTTCAGTGACTAAGCACTACACATGAACATACTGTTCAAAGCTCTTTGCTGTTGCTCATCTTCAATGAAAACCAACCTTCAGGAAGCAAAAATTCCATTTGAAAAAAAACCAAAAAGACTACTTTGGAGGGTATCTAAACATTCCCTTTGAAAAATCTGATCTTGCACCACTTCTCAATGCTCCTAAAATCAACAAATGTCAGAGCAAGAATTTGTTTTCTATACTTCTACTGCTTGTCCCTTACTGCCTCCATTTATTCAGCTAATGTATTTGATGAAGGTTGATTAAACTGGCAAAAACTAGAAACCCTACTCAACAGAGGATGCACACATTGAGAAGCAATGTATAAAAATCCATTCAGAATTATGAACCGGACCCATGTGTTTGCTTGATCTAAATAGGGCTATTATTCCCAGTTGCCACCTTGAAAACATCTAGCAAAAATATACAAGTTTACATTAACCATTAACACTGAGGGTTGGCTGTAGCATTTTTTGGATTTGTTTCTTTATTTCTAATTTATAAACTCAGAAACTAGAACGATAACATGCAACATTTCCAAGCTGGTTTTCCCCATGCACTTCATGCACTGTGTCCATAACAGCCTGCAAGTGACCTCCCATCCCATGCAGCCTGGCAGCCCGTGAGAACGGAAAGTATTTCTTGTATTATATACAAACCTCCAACATTAAATTGCTATGTCTGACATAAATATTTTCCCCGTCTACTCTCAAGGAATTGCTCTGTGAAATTAAGCCACATAAAAAAAAAAAAGGAAAAAAAAAAGAACATAAAATGGACCAGCAAGTAAATAAAAAAGGACCCTTAGAATCAGATGCTTAAATAAAAGAAATAAAATGGTGATGTGAAAAGGCACTATTCAGACAAAATCCACAGAAAACGTAGGGTGCTACAAGGCAGGCAGCTACAGCCAGGTTCAATTGTAAAGAAACAACCATGCACCTTCTGCTGTGCTTCCTCCTCTTCGTATTCCACCTATGTGAGCACATGACAAATGATCAAGAAAAGGAACTGTTAACACAGGCTTAGAGACTAACACAGAGGCTTCATCTCTTTGTAAATGCTGCAAAGCGTGCTGGAGTTACAGACCTTTACTCTTTCGGCCCCAGATGGTCAAATTATTAAGCGACTTTGGTCTTCTTTCACCTACATTGCTGCAGAATGGCTGAAGTAATTTTTGGCATAAGTGGCATGAAAAATGGAAGTTTCACACTGTGTCCCTTTCTTGCTGTACTTTTTAGTGTTTCCCAGGTGGAAATTTAAGAATGAGTAATGAAAAAAATGATATGCATATTTTCTATGGCAAGTGACAAACTCTGCAACAAGTTGATGGGAAAATGGAATCTAATGCAGGAGGTTTTTTTGGGAAAGGGTCTAGGATTCAAGTCAAATGCTTAAATACTGTATTTACAAACTGTCTTAATAATATTTTAGGAATGTTGCTGTCTTGGGATGAGTTATTTGCACACACCCCCCCCTTTTTTGGTGAATATATTCATCCTTAAACTGCAGTGCACTCTGCTGAAAATGGTACCTAACCTTTGTATCTTAGCTCCAAGTATTCTGAATGCCCTAAGGAACAGTGCTCTTTAAAAAGCAAACCACTCTCCAGTCTTTCCACATGTACAAATATCAACTGCTAATCCTAGGAAAAGATGCATTTAGTAGTCAACACTGTGCAAGTACATAAACTTGAAGAAGGGTTTACTTACTGCTCACACTGTTGTGTTTGCACACATGATGTGGTATACAGCACATTTTTATTCATTTCTGACTTATCTAGAGGTCCATTTTCTGTAACTTTATGTTACAAATCATGGATTAAATTAGGCTACAGAAAAATTAAGAAAATCTTTAAAGTCTTGGTTTATTATTTTAAACTTAGACTGGTTTTGAATGACATCACGTCATATTTAGCATGTTTTTAATATACACACCAGCTTAACAGACTTTGTGACATGTAATGTTAAATAGGCTCTTCTCCTTTTTGATTCTATACAATTTGGTTTCATATTTCCTTCGAGGATCAAAATAAAAGACCTTTTTCTAGCAGTATTGCTGTAACATATGCAGCAGACATAAGGAAAGGAGGCATTTTGTCAGCCACTCCAGATGATCAGAGCAATATATTAGTGTGGCTGAGGCTTCTGTACTGCAATTTTAACAGTGTATTTCAAAGAATGTTCAGACTTCAGTGATTAAAGTCTAACACAACCTGCAATCCCAGCTAATGAATGAAATCAGTCTCCACCTTAACTGCTGCTAGAGAGTAATCAAAGCATGAAAAAAAGCAAAAAAAGCGCCTTGGACAGACTCAACTTTGCACACACCCTTGTAGAGCTGAAACATCTGGAAAAACAAAAAAGCTGATCTTGAAAGTATTCAGTTTTCTGAATTCAGCTTTTAGGAGTTTCACTTTTCAGATCTAGACAGGGCTTTGGAGATGTGCATCCCAGTCAATGCTCGCAGGAGACATGCATTTTAAAACAAATTGATAGTGCAAGTAGAACAACTTGCAAATAGTATCAAATAATAATATATCCATTATTACACAGCACTTTGAGTACTCAGATTTATGTGCTCATAAATATTTTGAACTAAAAAGCAAGTCCACCTGCAGCTCAGTATCTGCAGAACTGAACAAAATGATGCATGCTGTAGGAAATCAGGCATAAAACCCTCAAGCTACCTACTGACTAAAAAATCCCACAATGGCAGTTTTTCACAAATGAGAAATGTTAAAAAGATAGAGACATATATAGATATTTACAGGCATGTACATAGACATATCTCTATACTAGGAAGTGTGCAAAACTGAGCAAGCCTCAGGAGAACAAGCATAAAAGCCATGTGCAAATGTCAACATTTAAGCAACAAAATTACACACCTCCTCTTCCTCTGCTTTGTCATTCAGGTCATTGCCATTAGAGCCACTAAAGGAAGTCGCCTTAGGCTCCAGGTAGCAGAGGGACAGAGCAAGAGGAAGGGAAAATGTGAGTGAAAAAGGAATAGACTGGAAAGCAGACAGAAGCAGCACAAAGATAAGGAGAAAAGAGGGGATGAAGGAAGGAGAAGTAATAGGAATATAGTGCTGCAAGCCAGGTGGGAGGAAAGAGATGCAAACATCAGGAAGGCTAGGAAAAGTAATATAGCCATCTTCATCAAGCAGTGAACGGAAACTAAAAGAAAGGCATCTGAAGAAGCTGAATGAGACACACAACTCAGTGCTTTGGTAGTCATTTGTATGGATTTTTCCCTCGACAGCAGGGGAGCCTCGACTAGCTAGGGGTCTCGTAGCTTCAAAGAAATTATTTGGGGAAGCTGTTCTGGTTTCATTATGATCTGATGTTTGTTTCATGGAATTGCACTCTGAGATGTCTGGGATGGTAAGGAGGGGCTCTCCAAAAGGATCTTCCTCTGAAATATCTGAAAGCATGTCCACCTCAGGGACAGGTGAGAGGTCTGTGAGATGGGATGACACAGAATGGATGGGTAGTGGTGATGGGTGCACATGAGTGAGCTGAAGAAAAAAATTCTGTGTACAGTGGAAAATGAAAGCACAACAAAAATGCAAGTTTGAAGGCACATGAAGAGGGGAAAAAAAAGAAATTATTAGTTAGTGAAGATTTTTACTTAGAAGAAGGGATAGCTCTACTAACGCAATAGAAATGCCAAATAAAAATAAAAATCCCCTTGTGTTTTACAAGCAGTCAACTTGTTTACTTCTGTGGATTATGAATGGAACCCATTACAAGTGTTTTGTTCTGAGGCTGTAAAGAACCATGCACTTTTGAACTGTAGTAGTCACTTAACAGATGGAAGCAGACAGACAGTCAAAGCATTGGCAGAAAGGTCAGGAGACAGTGCAGTACACGAAAGACAAGCTGGCACTTTGATTCTTGGGTTTGTAACCATTTTCTCTAAGACTTAAAGAGAGCCAGAAAGGAAAAGAAGTATCTGCACTAGGGAGAAAAGCAAGCTGTTCACAGAATAGGCATGTGTAACAAACCTTACTGAACAGCTTCTGGGAACAACTTCCCAAAATACTGCCTTCCCCAACTTTTGGTTAAAATATTGCAAGATACTGCCACTTTGAAAACAAGGGAGTGTCAACATTTCACCAAGCCCAAAGGCAAAACATTGTAATTTATTTTACCATTTTTCTCCCATAAAGAAACTGTGTGTGCCTTTAGTCTAGGCTAATTCAAAATTATATCAACTGGTCAGCAAACAAAAAATGCACCTGTGGTATTTGTCCCCTTCCTACACTTGAATGCAGTGGGAATATATGAACTGCACAGAGAAACTCCACAGTCCTGCTAGGAATCAAATGGATAGCTGACTTGCAAAAATATTTGAAAACAAAATTACGCTTTAAATATTAAAGTAATTTCGGGAGAATTGCTGGAAAAGAAACAATCAATCTCCAAGAGACAAAGAGCAGCAGATTTTAGCTGACACTTTGGAAGGAAATTTTTCAATCAAATCATAAAAAAATTGATTTTTGACCTATTACCCAAGTAGCTCAAACAAACAAGACAAGTAAATGGTTGTCTGCAACAGGAACAGATCACAGTACTCAACTTTTCACAGCAATCTACACCTTAGTCAACACACAAGTTTTTAAAGGACGAAATTATTCTGCAATGGCTACTAAACAATACTGTTACCTATGGAAATTAAACAGTCATAACATACACAACTTTGTGGAATGTACACAACTGTGGATACATTAACTTTTTATTTAAAGCCTAAACAAACTAAGGAATTGAATAAAACATTATTTACCCTTCAAAACACTTTCAATAACCCATGCAATCTTACTGAGAATTCAAAATAAATTCATAGCAGCATAAGAACCCCAGGCCAATGGCATTCAGAAGTTTGTGTTCTCCTTTGCTTAACATTAAGTCAAACCTACAGAAAGCACTTAATGATTTTCCTTTAATATTTAAATGTGTAATTTTCAGAAGTGATAGGCACTAAATAACCACACATGAACACACACATGAACAAATAATTTTGATTTGAAAGTCAGCCATACCTTTCCATCCCGAGGCAATTCTAATTGTGGAGTTTTGACTGGGCTCCCATCTTCTTCTCTACCACCTTCTTTTAACTTGGCCTGACCAGCAGCTTCAATGTCAGTGATTTTATCACCAGCAGCCTGCCCTCCAGTAGCAGAGAAGTCTCTTAGCAGACTTTGGTCTGAGATACCCATGGGAGCTATTAGAGAACAAAATAATTTTTGCTAATTTGGCTAAGTTACAAGACTTTAAGTCTTCTTAACAAGAGTATTTGATGATGATGTCAGCAATGAGAACTACAGACTAGTTACTGAATGATACAGTATTTTTCAGCTTCTTGGCTTTACAAAAAGTGTAGTGTTCTCATGGCACTGATATAAACAGCAATACACCCTTCTCATATAATTTGCATTTACTGTGCAAGGGAAAAACCCCTCAGAGTATCACACGGGTATATATCAACTTCTTTATTAGACTTGGAAGACAAATTGAAGCTATTGTTCTTTTGACTGTGTAAATCACCATTAAAAAAAAAGAAACAGGCAACTGTTTTGTGGAAATTCATTATTTGAGAGGACTGCTTTAATGCGATATAGAAATAGCTATGCATGTAACTGTCACAGTATTTTTTTTCTGGAAACAACAAACAACTCAGTGAAAGTTAAACCTTTCCTCCTTGTATGTTTGCAAGAATTGGAAGGGGGAAATACTAAATATGTATACTTGAATAAAAGCACAAGAGAGTTAAAAGCCTTAAATTAGGGCTTTTTCCTCTTACTTGATTCAGCATAACAGGATTAATGACCAGGATGGCCCTTTCTTTTAATCACAATGACTGGCTTAGTCAACATAGTAGCAATGAAATACAGGAGAATTCATTAAATTAAGGAGCTTTAAACAACATGATTTTGATATAAACTCAATTCATTTACCAATGTCCTGCAATACCTCCATATGCCTTTGCTTTATGAAGCCAAGGTGCAGAAAGTAGAGAGGAAGTGGCACTTGGAGTGATTTTGGTACTCCAAGTACCAATTTGGAGTACCAATCTCTTGGAGTATCTTTGAGGCATATCCTCTTCTGAAAAGTCTCAGCTGCATACCAGAGACTCCCTTAAGCTGCTGAGAAGCCAAGACCACCTAATGCCAAATATAGCATTTGGGATGTTAGGTTTTCAGGGCCTCTGTAAGTAACAGGTTCTGCAACTTCAGCTTCTTATCTCTTCTTGGGTGGCAAATAGAGCATTCCTTGGGTATATGTCCCTCAAGTTCCACTAGTTACTTTTGACAAATCACAGATTGACTTAGGTTGGAAGGAACATCTAGAGGTCAGCTAGTCCAAACCCCTGCTCAGAGAAGGTCCAATCAGACCAGGTTGCTCAGAGACTTGTCCAGTTGAGTTTTGAGCATGTCCAATGTCTTTTTAAACAAACAAACAAAAATTTCTTCCTTCTAACTGAAATTTGCTATGTCTGAACTTGCAGGCACTCCCCACTGCCTTACCACTGGAAACTGCTGAGAAATGCATGGCACTGCCTTTTCTGTACCTTCCCTGTCAGCAGCTGTAGACAAGCAGTATCTCACTACAGCTGCCTTCTTTTAAGGCTGAAGGACCACAGTTCTCTCAACCTCTCCTCAAATATCGTAGGCCCCCAGCCCTCTGGCCAGCTTGGTGGCCCTTACTGGGCTCACTGTAATAAGTCACTGCCCATCTAATACTGTGGAGCCCAAGATTGGACACAATATTCCAGGTATGGTCTTCACAAAGTACTAAATAGAGAGAAGCAATAATTTCTTCTAATGTGCCAGCTATGTTCTTGCTAATACACCCCAGGATACAGTTGACCTTTGAGGTAAGGGCACACTCATCTTGACTCATGTTCAACTTGTTCCACTGGAGTCCCCAGATCCTTTTGTGCAAAGCTGCTTTCAGTGCAGTTGGGCCTCTGGCATGTACAGGTATTACTCCTTCTCAGATGCAGGACTTTGCACTTATTTCTGTTGAATTTCATCAGGCTCCTTTCAGCCTATTCCTGCAGCCTGCTGCAGTCCATGTTGAGATGGTGAGGTGGGAAAGCAGCAAGAGTAACTCTTAGAAGGATCAGTATGCAACTCCAGGTATTTGGGAGGAACAATGGCACTGGACATGCTGCTCACAAGAGAGGCAAGGTGCCGTTGTCTACATAATTTCTCATTTCAAGTGTACACTCACAGTATGAATCTACATCTGGACTACTGCCTGAAGAAAAAATGTTGACTTTGAATGAATGCAGCTTAAAACCATTACAGTCTGCAAAGAGCAACACCAGCAAGATGCCTTAAATGCTGCCAGGATAGCTGGTTTCACTTGAGACTAAACCAAAGATGCTTAAGGAGAAAACTATAGGAAACCCAAGAGCAATGTTTCATCATGATCAAAATTTTGACTGTGATGCTTCTCCAGGAGTGGAAATTTAGGCCTGAACACATGTGCATACACACCTGTATTCTGTAGATGATGCACAAGGGATCCCAGAAAGGCTTGATTATACAACCTCTGAGAGTTGGGATTCAAATTGTTTCCACTCAAAAGAAGAGGAACTAAAGTGGACTGAGATAGTAGCACTGATGTGGTGATGAATCTTTTGGTTTCCACAAGGACTCATCGCATGCTACCAGTGCAAGCACTTCTGTCCGTTATTTTTGCTTAGGCTCCCAGAAGGTAAGACTTGGCAGGTTTTCCAAGCAAGTGTCACTGTTTGCTCATTTGTCATAGTACAAAAGAAAGAATATTTGCAGAAGTAAAAGCCTTGTAAGATTTTTAGACAAAATAAAGTAAACACTCAATTGTAGCTAAACTCACATCATTGTCATGGTCCACTTTTATTCTAGTGAATTTGTGTATGCCTGAATGTAAGTCAAGCTTCATGTTATTTTTCTGAAGAATTTTTCTGTTTTATATTATTTCAGAAGAGATTTAGAGTAGGACATGTGCTTCTACCATCTCTCACATATATTGCTGCTATACCTGCCTTTGGAAAGCATGCCTGTTTCCAGTGAAGGTATTTCTGCTCAAAGAGACCAAATACCAGTAATGACAAAAAAAATTTTAACTATTCAAAGTCAACATAAAAACCATTAACTAAACACAAAGTATTGAATAAATATATGAGGATAGCAATATACTGAACAAAATGATCCAAAACTAGAAGAAACAACTTGTTCAGCCTTTTCTGTTTAGTGTAGAGACACTCGGGCCAAACCAGATCCCACTGGCAAAATAATTTTGATCGACAACACGTGGAATGTGCCTATCCTGTAAAAACGATGTGTGTACAGGGATGCTTTGTGTCCAATACAGAAGCCTCCAGTTTAGGTGGTGACTTAACTTGCTGTTTAGGTCACCTAAAATTGACAAGTACCCCAAGTGGCTACTTCTCACATCACTCAACAGTAACTGAAATTCATAAATTTGTCAACAGACCTTCCGGCTATCCAAGATGCTAACATTTTCAAATGTTGGTCAGATGTGGGACAACACATAATGCAATCATTGCAATGAAAAATAAGTCAAATTTCATACCTCCATCGAGGCTTCTGGAAACACGTTTGCTTGAAGTGCGCTCAAAGTACGGAGCTGGTCTGTCTATGAGGTTGCTTGCCTGCCGTGTCTGTGCTTGCGTACGGCCACTGTAGCGGAACTTGGAACCCAAGGTTAGAAACTTTGCTTTCGGAGGCTGTTCTGGTGATACAAGTCTAAAATGTAAATATGAGGAAAGCCAGTTAAACAGGCTTTATTTTAGGTATTTAATGAGGTACTTTAAAGCTACTTATTATATTTCAACTTCAGTCCACTGTGCATAATTTGTGCTCTCTAAGAAAGGATTCTATCGTAAGCTCTGCAAAGACCTGCTAAAACAGTGCATAGTATTTATTATTTTCAGTGGAGTTGAAGCGATGCTGATAACCATTGCATTTTTCTACAGTATGATTAAGCATCTGGGATCCTTATCTTTCGGTGCTATCTTGGTTAAAATGTATTTTTTGTAGAAAGCTGAGACCATTATAGTCCATGAAGAATACCTCTCAGATCTCTCTCCTCAGAATGTTACTTACAGTAAAAATTATACATTCCACTTTTTATTTACAATGTTGTTTATGTAGGCTGATGTTTTCTGGATATAATGAGGTGGGAAAAAAGCATTTCATGAAAAGCATGAAAAAGGGATTCAGTTACATGTATTGTTAATGCTGGGTACGTATGTTTGAATCTTAAGTGTTGGAGTCAATGTCAGAAAGTCTGCATACCAATGTGACAGAATGTGCTGTGAGTGACTCTGCTTTGATCCAACAGGTTTTGACAACACATGACTTTGAAGACAGGTCCTCTATACCTTCCTGAATTTCAGTATGAGAACTTCCGAGTTCTTATGCATCTAACCCTCATTGCTCATATTTTGTTTTTGAAACCTGATCCATCCACTTCAACACTGAGGATGATGTTTGTTCCCATGCCATCTTTGCTGATAAGATAAACATCATCAGTCATCACTCCAAGAACTCTTCCTATTCCCTGCTTCTCTGGCATGGCCTTTGATGCTGTTCCCTGGATCAATGTAATGCTGCAAATACATGCTCACCCAGCATGACAGACTCCATGGCCTGTCCTCTCTCTGTATAAAACAGATTATTGCAGATAGAGCTTTTTGATTTGAGGATTTGCAAAGAATGAGAAGTTCACCGAACATCAGCTTCTTGCAAGCAGAACCAGCAACTCCTGTGCCCTTTCTACTGAGGATGGCACAGATGGGCAAGCAAGACTTAGAAGTATGCTGACTTTGTTCCCCTCTTTTGAAGCATTTGCACAGGAATATCTGTGTTAGAGGAATCCAATCCAGCATATGTTAAAACACCATCCTGTGGTGGGTCCTTAAAGCTACAACAGTTGCTCTAAAGATATTTCGGCAAAACTGAACAATTTTCAGATACCTAGCAAAAAACAATAAATGGTGAGCTAGTGTGGTGAGCTGATTCTGGCTGGATACCAGGGTCCTACCAAAGCCACTCCCCTTTCTCAGCTAGACAGGAGAAAAAGTTAAAATGAGAAGCTTGTGAGTCAAGATAAAGACAGGGAGAGATCATTCACCAATTACCATCATGAACAAACCTGACCTGACTTAGGGAAGAATTAACTGAATTTATTACCAATCAAATCAGAATAGGATAATGAGAAGTAAAACCAAATCTTAAAAACAGGTTCCCCCTCCCCCTTTTTCCCGGGCTCAACTTTGTTCCTGATTTGCTCTACCTCCTCCCCAGCAGCATAAGGGGACAGGGAATGGGGGTTGCAGTCAGTCCATCACATGTTGTCTCTTGACACTCCCTTCCTCTTCAGGGGAAGGACTCCTCATATCCTCCAAATGCAAGTCAGTGCTCCAAGAAGTTCCCAATGTAAGCCCTTTCCACAGGCTGCATTTCTTCACAAGGAACTCCAGTGTGGTTCCATTCCACAGGATGCAGTCCTTCAGGAAAAGCCTGTGCCACCATGGGTCCCCCACAGGGGCAAAAGTCCTGCCAGCAAACCTTCTTCTGTGTGTGGTCACAGCCTCCTTCCAGCACTCCCCTGCACCAGCATGGGATGTTCCATGGGCTGCAGATGAGTGTCTGTGCCACTGTGGACCTCCATGGGCTGCAGGGGACAGCCTGCCTCGCCATGGTCTGCACCAAGCACTGCAGGGGATTCTCTGCTCAGGTTCC